CTTCTAATCAATGTGATCTATCAACCTACAAAGTTTCTTGATGATATCTCTTATGATTTCCGAGTTATGTCCCAGACAACTTCAAAAAGTAAAAATAAACAAAGGGCAATGACTACAGAATTATGCAAGGCAGAGTTATGATTCTTGTGCACTGCACATCTACCCATTGAGATATATCTACCTACAAAGTTTTATGTTGATATCTCTTATAGTTTTACAGCTATGTCCTTGACAAGATTTTTCTAAAAGGGGAGATAATTCAAAAATGAGGCTTAACAGAGTTATGGTTCTTTTGCACGGCACCTCTACTCAATGAGATTTATCTACCTACAATGTTTCATATTGATATCTCTTATAGTTTAAGAGTTATGTTCCAGACAAAGTTCAAAGTGTTAAAATTAACAAAGGGCAATAACTCCAAAATTAGGACTAAAAGAGTTATTGTTCTTATGCACTGCACATCTACCCATTGAGATCTATTCACATACAAAGTTTCATGTTGATATCTCTTATAGTTTTATAGTTATGCCCCGGACAAGATTTTTCTATAAGGGAGGAGAATTCAAAAACCGGGCAAAATAGAGTTATGGTTCTTTGACACTGCACTCCCCCCCACAATGCCCTCTACCACTGTATGAAGTTTCAACAAATTATCTCCAAGGGTTTTCAAGTTATGCTCCGGACAAGACAACAGACGGACGGACGGACAAGGCGCGGACTATATGCTTCCCCGGGGAAACATAAAACTATGCCTGGCCAAACAAACCCAAAGAAATATAATTAAAAAATAAAATATTGGGAAACTCCATTACAAAAAGGCCCTGCCCTTTGTAATTTCATACTAAAATATCCCAAAAGCTAACCCGGATAGTGTGGTAAAATAAATTTTATTTACCCGTCAAAAAGGGGAACCGGGGGAAATTGCATGGCTCAAAAAACCCCTGTTGGCCCTTTAGGTCCAGGAATCAAAAGGGGATCTGAGCTAAAAACAAACTTTCAAAAAAAAAGTGAGAAAATAAAAAGACTTACATTTTTAAAACCCGCGGCCCCTAAAAAACCAACATCAAAGCAAATTTTCAACCCGCAGAATTCCCGACAAACCCCCGCCCAAAAAAACCCCCTGCATCTGATTAAAGGGTCCAAAGTTCGCTTAAAAAACTAAAAACAAAATAAAGGAAAAATGAAAAGCGAAAAAGCAAAGGAAACCTGATCAGACTCGCAGAAAAGCACGGGCTGGCCTGGACCCCTGGGTTGGGCGCAAACCCAATTTTTTTGGTTTTTTCTGAAGCGCGCTCTTTTTGCTGTTAAAAATTTTTGAAGTTTTTTCAATTTTTTTTTGAAAAAAAAGTAAATTTTGTCCCCAAAATCATAACATTTTTGTTTATTTTGGAAAAGGGTAAAATAAGCTGACTTTTTTTGAAGATTTTTTTAAACAAAAAATATAGTGGGCTCACTTGGTTATAAAAAAATTAGTTTAAAGAAAATTTTTTAAAAAACTATAGCAGGTTTTAAATTTTCTCTAACAAAAGATCCCCTTTTTAACCCATCCCGGGATTGTAATTTAAATAAATTTTAAAAAACCTGAAAAAATTAAGGTTCTGAAAAAATTTTAAATCAGTTATCAGTATTTTCCCTTTCGTTTTGCTTGATCATTGTTTTTAAAGCCGCCAAAGGGTTTTTAAAATCCGAGGTGGTTTTCCAGCAAAGGCAAAAATTTTACGTTTGAAAAATTTTAAAAAGTTACCGCCCATGTAGTTCCCAGATTGTTCACAAACCCCTTGGGCATAGTCGTCTTGCCCTTTACAGGCAAATTTTTGGAACCCCCCGTCCAAAAAGAAAAATTGAAAACCCTCAGAATCTAAATTAAAACCTCTTTAAAAAAAAAACTTTTACTAATCAAAAAGTTCTAAAATCATTATAATTTTCAAAACCCATTTTTTTTTGGGAAAAAAGGGAAAAAAAAAAACGATTTTTTATTGAATTTCCAAAATTTTATTTAAATTTTTAAAATCTATTTAATTTAATTTAATTTTTTCTTATCACAAAAAACAAAATGCAAAAAAAAACAATTTTCCAAAAATATTTAAATCGGAAAATCGACACTTTTTGTATCAAAGGAACACAAGTCAATAAACACCCTCTAGCAATAACTGTTGCAAAATACATCTGCGGAAAAAATGGATTTTTTTGTAGCGGGGTTTAATTTTCAAAAACAGGGGATTTCTTTCCATTCCCGGGGAACAAAAAAGCATTCTCAAAGATCATGGAGGTTTTTATTCTGGGGTTTAAAAGTTGAACCCTAACAAAAAAGTCTGAGCCAATCCCCTAAACCTCTATGAAAACCCCAGTTTTTTATGTTTAAAATTTGTTTTGTTTTCAAATGTTGGGATTCAAAAACTTTTTTGGGTTAGTATATAAAACTGTGTCTGTTCATGTAAAAAATTAGAAAAGGGCCCAACTTCCGGTATGATTCCCCACGGGAGGGGCTCCAAAAAGTTTAAACTTTGAGGGAAAATTTTTTAATTTCCTCAAAAATGGGCTTTTTTGGCCAAAAACACAACCCACACCAAAAACTTTAATTTGTCAAAATATCTTGCCGATGGTTCAAAACACACTGGTGTTTCCACACAAAGAATGGGGTTCTAAACTGACATGTGTATTTTATATATTATGTACCAGTTATTTCGCACTGCACTTCTTCTTAATGAGATCTATCATCCTATGAAGTTTTCAAGTCCATAGATTTTATCTTTAGGAGAAATGGCCCGGACAAAAATAAAGTGATTAACAACTGGGCAATAACTTCCAAAAAATAAGAAATGAAAGAGTACCAGTTCTTGGGCATTGCACTTCTTCTTAAATGAGATCTATCATCCCTATAAAGTTTCATGTCCATAGCTTTTATACTTTTAGGAGAAATGTTCCTGGACAAAAAATTAAAGTATTTAAAAATTAACAAAGGGCCAATAACTCAAAAAATAAGAAGTGCAGAGTATCCGGTTCTTGTGCACTGCACTCGCGGGTCTTTTGTAAGAAGCATGCATAGCAAGTTTGAGTCAATCGACTTTTAATGACTGACGTACTTATGCTCCGGACAAGCTTAAGGGGACGCCAATGCTGACACCGACGCCGCCGACAAAAGTAACCCCTATATGTCGCCTTTTTCAAGGCGACACATAAACCCTAAAAAGGGGTTAGTCACCACTAATTCAAGGTGTCAAACATTGGTAATTAAAGCAATCCAATGTAGTACTTAAACTGTTATCAATCCTTGACGCAATAACTGATCACATTATGATGAAAAAATATGGCAATCTCCTGCAAGTAAAATTTGAATAACCAAAAAAAAAAAAAGAATATAACCTTCTATAAAATACTTCCCTGGTTTTAAAAACCCCGGGGGCCCTTAAAACCCGGTAAAAAGCCAAAAAATATAAAATATATTATACAAATTTTCTATTCTAGGAGGGGAATCACTCATATATTTTTTAGAATCCCCCCCCCTATTTTTTCACAGGCAATAAAAATTTTCAGAGGCAGGATAGAGAACGAATAAAAATGATCAACAAATGAAATAAATTCTCACTTTTCAATAAAAAAAAAATTCCCTTTGTTGTTTGAATCCTAGAATATATAGACACTGTATATATTCTATTCATTGAAAATATGGATCCGCCCCCATTTAACTGAACACTGCTAAATGAAATATAATTTTATGGGACATGTCACCTGGACTGTTACTTTATTCAAAACATTGGCCCCATGATTTGGGAGCATGAGCATATGCATGCAAGCCTTCCTAGAACCAGGTCAACAACAAACATTATTATTAGTTTTATTTTCTCGTTAATTCCAATTTGTTTTCTAGAAGAATAAAAAATTAATTAAATTTTATAACCACCGTAGTTAACTTACCCCCAAGGGTGTTTTTTTTTGGGTTTAATTTTTTGAAAAAGACAAACCCCGAAAATCTTCTGTCAATTTTTTGGCGGAAATTCCTGTAAAATTCGAATTTAAAAGTTGTCGGGTCTCCTGCGTGGGTTTTTGTTTTTCCGGGTGTTATTTTAAAAAGTTTTTTATAGTTGAAAATTTTTTCTGTTGTCCCCTTTGGGAACAAAAAAGCAGAAATAATTCCGTGTTGAAAAATTCCAAAAATGCTTTTTAAAAATCGTTTCTAAATGACGTCCCCTTCATTTCCGGGGGGCAAAAGGTAATTTTTTTGGGTTTGTTAAAAGGGGTTGGCCCCCTGGAAAAAAATTTCCCCAAAGAATTTTATTGTAAGTTTTAAATAATTCCCGATTTAAAAATTTAACAGTTTTTTTCTGTAAAAAACTAAAAGTCTTTTTATAAATTTTATAAATACATAAGTTTCAATACATTTATTCCAATATCATTACAAATAAATTAAAAGTTCTTTATCCTGCATAACCTATAGTGTAATGAAATGTTCCATTCAATCAACCAATCCCATTGCCCGTAATGTGAAATTAATTGTTATGTATGGAAGGCCGTTTCTGACTAAAGGCAAGCTGTTTTTTTAGCTCTGAAAGACGAACAAATAATAAATTCTGTAAACGAATTAAAAACTGTAACAAAGGCAAAATACTACGAATATAATGAATATATGAATGCCACTTTGGAGTTGTTTCTGCATTTTTATATAAGTTTACTTCAATGCATCATAAGATTTTGTTCTGGCAGCTTCATAACGCTAATTAATGACCCATTTAATAAGGGGTGGGGGGGGGGTTGTCTAAAGGATGATTGCGGGAGGGAGGGTAGCACCCCCACTGCCGCCCGGATTAGTGCTGTGTTGTGTTGTTTTCGTGTTCCCCGCCAACAAGTCGATTTCACAGAAGCACCCCCACTGCCGCCCGGATCAGTGCTGCGTTGTGTTGTTTTCGTGTTCCCCGCCAACAAGTCGATTTCACAGAATGCTTCTATTTGGTTAATTGTTGTCGCAAGAAGAGAGTTTCGTAATAAGACTTTGCTGAACTTACCAAAATTATCACGGAATGAGTTTGGGGACATAACTGACAGGTGCATAGGCACCCTAAATAGAATATAGGCATAAATACCGACTCCTGTTAATAAGATCACCATCTGACTGCAGAAACTTGTAATGAGTTGGATCAGGGTCATTAATCATTATGCTTCAGACTAAGATAACTTAGGGTCACAAATACCAAACCATGCACCTTCTTCTCAGAATTCAAAACAAAACTGTTGAAACCTGAATGAGATATCAATCTGTTTAGATTTAAATAATAATAATAATAATAATAATAATTATAATAATAAAAACACATTCGATAGTTGTTGCTAAGCATTATATATACAAAGCACTTGTACCAAATCGAACGGGAATCACAAACTATTATGAATAAGGTAGATACTGTTAATAATTATTGGGAGGGTTTGAAATTTATTGTAATTTCATAATTTGTTTGTGAGTTAGGACATGGTATCATGCATTTGATATTGCTAAATTCAATATGACTAAGAATATATTTCATTCATTAGAACACTATTGTATAGAAAAAATATAGTGAGGTTCTGCATGTTTCACAGTCTTCTTACGTTTGTTTGAGTGTATGTATCGTTTTATGGTTGTATGTATTTATTTATGTTTACAATAAATGGGGCTACCATTTATGGACCTCTAACAATAATATAGGATTATTGTCATAGTTTATCAGTTTATTATAGTTTCTGTTCTTATCATTTTCAGATCTTGATCATTGTGTAATACAGTTGAATAAAGATACTTACAAATAGATAGAACTCTTATTTATGATCAAGATACAGTGACGCCCAAGAACAATGCCTGCAGTACAGTGTCCATTTCCCGACTGTGACTTACAGCACCGCTGACCTAGATGCAGCGATTGTTGCGGCACTCATCACAGCTCACAGTGCCTGTACACACAAATGCACCTGTTTTTGACTGCAAAAGTGGAGAAAGTGAAGCGACCTACCGTGACCGCCGCTGGAACCAGCGAGGACTGGGCCTACTTTCTTATCACGTTAGACAGACTATGTTGGCCGCAACACCAAACTGAAGGGCAAGGACCAAAGTCATTCAGTTGCTTGAGTGTTGTGACGAACCCCTACGCAGAGACCTGACTCGAACAACAGGTGGCAAATTAACTGAAAAAAGGCAGTAGACGATGTATTAGCCGCCATTTCGAAAACTTGCTGTTCGTGAAGAGAACACGATGGTTGCTCGTTTGACATTACATAACATGAGACAAGACCGTGATGAGGTCAGTCAGAAACTTTGGTGCACGTCTCAGAGGGACAAGCTGACATTTGCAAATTCGTGATTTGACTGCCCTGACTGTAATGCCAAAATCAACTACACAGATGCCATCATGCGCGACGTCCTCACACGAGGTGTTGTTGACCCTGATATTCAGTTAGACCTACATTGGGACAAAAATCAAAATATGACTTTTGGAGGAAGTATTTCAATTCGTTGAAGCGAAAGAAGCAGGGAAACGTTCAGCTTTCAAGGCTTTTGGATTCTCATTCGGTTGAGGCAGCCAGCTCCTACAAAAGGTCCAAGCAAGCCCTCAGCAAGGACAATCAAGACCTGTGTTCTTATTGTGGGAAACGTGGTCATGCAAGAAAAGTGTGGCACAACTGCGTAAGACTCAGTGTCCTGCATTATGGCCACAAGTGTGAACTTTGTCATCGAGATCACCATTTCGAGAATATCTTTGCCCGCAGCAAGGACAACCAAAACGCCAAAGTACAGTCTAGCCAACACAACTTTGACAAAGAAAGTGCTGTGTTTAACACCTTGTGTACACTGAATTCCCTTCAACCACAGCATTGACAATCTAAAACACTATTTCAAACCGGGAAAACGGCAAAGTATTTTCACTAGATCATCAATCTATGACAGGCATGACAGACACGTGTTTCGCAGAAACTCAAAGCCTCAGCCATTTGTGAACATTACTGTGCGAGCTGTTCCAGAAGATTACTCTCAGCCTTTGGAGTCGGACCTGCCAACACCGTCAGCGCCCACCATTGTTCCTGCTATGGCTGACACCGGTTGTCAGAGCTGCCTTGCCGGTCTTAAAGTTATTCATCGCATAGGACTATCTAAATCTGACCTTATCCCTGTGACAATGCGCATGCACACAGCTAACAATGACGGTAATCAAGATTCTTGGAGCCTCTTTACTACGGTTCTCAAGCAAAGACAGCAGTGGTAGAGTGGTGGAAACGAGGCAGATGACATATGTTACAGACTCTTCAGACAAGCTGTTTCTGAGCAGAGAGGCATGTGTACAGCTAGGTATCATCAGCAATAGGTTTCCTGAGATTACAGCCCTTACAAAACCGGTACCGCAGCTGTCCATGGAGAGGAACACTGCGCCATGCGATGTCCTGAGCGCCAATCTCCACCTCCACCGCCAAGTGTTCTGCCATTTTCACCTACAGAAGAAAACCGCTCAAAAACTACAGAGTATCTTCTTGATTACTACAGGTCCAGCACATTCAACAATTAAACACCAGCCTCTGCCTCTAATGGATGTCCCACCTATGAAGTTATGGTAGATCCAAAAAACGCTGAACCAGTGGCCTATCACACACCAGTACCCGTTCCAATACACTGGCGAGCTGCAGTAAAAGAAGGCCTTGATCAAGATGTACCGGTTGGGCGTGCTGGAACCAGTCCCCATTGGAGAACCTGTCACATGGTGCCATCGGATGGTCATCGGATGCGCTAAGAAAAATGGACAGCTCAGACGAACAGTTGACTTCCAAGCTCTCAATGCACATGCCACACGTGAGACACATCACACACCTTCCCCATTCCTCCAAGCGCGATCGGTTCCAAATGGGAAAAAAAAGACAGTGTTTGATGCCTGGAATGGCTATCATAGTGTCCCACTTTATGAAGAACACCGACATCTTACAACATTCATCACGCCATGGGGAAGATACCGATACAAAACCGCCCCACAAGGCTTACATTGCCTCAGGTGATGGTTACACAAGACGCTATGATGAGGTTAGTTACAGACATTCCAAACAAAACCAAGTGTATTGATGACGCCTTACTCTGGGCAAATGACCTAGAAGAAAGTTTCTTCCAGGCAGTGCGTTGGCTTGACGTCTGTGGAAGAAACGGTATAACACTAAACCCAGAAAAGTTTGTCTTTGGAGCAGATGAGGTCGAGTTTGCCGGCTTTGAAATCACTCGTGATGAAGTCAGACCCTGTCAGAGATACCTGCAAGCCATCATGGACTTTCCCACACCAAAAGACATCACAGACGTGCGTTCATGGTTTGGCCTTGTAAATCAGGTGTCATATGTTTTCAGTATGGCAGAGCGCATGTTACCATTTCGGGATCTCTTGAAGCAAGGCACTGTTTTCCAGTGGAATGAACATCTTCAGACATTATTTGAGGAGTCAAAAGCACAGATTGTAAAAGAAATAGAAGAAGGTGTTCGCATCTTTGACCCTGGTAGACCCACATGTTTGACAACTGACTGGTCTAAATCAGGTATCGGCTTCTGGCTCCTTCAGAAACACTGTAAATGTGATAAGACAGAACCTTTTTGTTGTCCATCTGGATGGAAGATCACACTTGTTGGCAGTAGATTCACTCATTCAGCAGAATCTCGCTATGCACCTATCGAGGGTGAGGCACTAGCAGTTGCAGATTCCCTGGACAAGGCCAGATACTTTGTATTAGGATGCAAGGACTTAACCATTGCGGTTGACCATAAACCACTTCTTAAGATCTTCAGTGACCGATCTCTTGAGGACATTTCCAACAATCGTCTGAGAAACTTAAAGGAGAAAACACTAAGATACAAATTTCGTATGGTCCACATCCCTGGCGTCAAAACATCGTGCTACAGACTGCCTTTCACGCCATCCTATTAGTGATGCAGAAAAACTTATCTTACCTGATGATGTTGCGCAAGTGACCAATCACAGAACTCCAGAGAGCCTCCATCTGGAAAATTCAAATACTCAATACATTCAAAGAAGTGGCAGAGACGGAAACATGATTTCAACTGCTGTTGCATCATCGAACACCATTGGCATGAAGTCGGTGACCTGGGATAGAGTTCGTTTAGCTACAGCCAGTGACCAGGATATGCTTCTACTGAGTGAGATCATAGAAGGTGGAATGCCACAGCACCGTCATGAAGTACCAGAATCTCTACGACAGTATTTCCAGTACCGTGAAGGCTTGTCAACCACTGATGGGGTTATTCTGTACAAGGACCGTGTAGTTATCCCGCAATCACTCAGGAAGGAAGTTCTAGATGCCTTACATTCAGCTCACCAAGGTGTTACATCCATGATAGCTCGAGCTGAGGACATCTGTGTTTTGGCCAGGAATCACGCCTGACATAAACATTCTTCGTGCAGGATGCCAACAATGCAACCGCAATGCACCGTCCAACCCGAGTGCTCCACCAGTTCCACCAATGAGCCCTGAGTATCCTTTCCAGTGCATCTGTGCTGATTACTTTACTTACAAAGGTAACCATTACCTGGTGGTTGTGGACCGCTACTCAAACTGGCCCATCGTAGAGCAGTCAGCCGTTGGAGCTCAAGGACTGTTAACTTGCCTCAGGCGCATCTTTGTTACATACGGATACCTGATGAACTTGCATCTGACGGGGGACCAGAATTCACAGCTACAGCTACAAGGCAGTTCTTAAGTGACTGGGGTGTGCATCATAGATTATCCTCAGTAGCCTTCCCTCACAGCAACTGCAGAGCAGAGATTGGAGTCAAGACAGTCAAACGCCTTCTAATGGACAATACTAGCTCTTCTGGCGACATTGATACAGACTCTTTCCAGCGAGCCATGCTACAATATAGAAATACACCAGACAGAGACACGAAGCTCTCCCCAGCTGTATGCATATTTGGTCGACCAATCAGAGATTTCATCCCAATTCCACCTGGGAAATACAAGCCTCACTCAACATGGCAAAACACATCCCTTGCCCGTGAAGAGGCATTGCGCAACAGACATATGCAATGTGCAGAAAGACTGTCGGAACATACACAAAGACTACCTCCTCTTTCTGTTGGAGACCACGTTCGGATGCAGAACCAAATTGGCTCATTCCCTCGCAAGTGGGATAAGACAGGAGTAGTAATTGAGGTGCGCCAGTTTGACCAGTACGTTGTGCGCATTGATGGTTCTAGACGTGTCACTCTGAGGAACAGGAAATTTCTTCGCAAATATGTTCCAGTTCAGTTGCCGCCAAAGCGGCTTAGCATAGACACTGACACTACGCTACATCGACCATCGTTTTCTGTTTCCCCTACTGTTACTACGGACACAACAGTGAAGCCTGGATTAACAACTCCAACGAAAACAGTCACAGTGCCAGAACAATCACCCGGGCCTGCATGCCCGCCTGCCATGGAAGCCTCACACGAGACACCTACTTGCACCCAGGTACAAAGCCCATGTCGTCAGCTCACATACTCTGAACCAAGAACTCAAGATGCCATCTCTCACTGCCAGATGTTTGCCACAGGCCCACCTTGTGCTAAAGCAACCGTTGTTCCATCGCCAACAGTTGAGTCTACTTCCACACCGCCACGACGGTCCAGCCGCATAAGACATGCCCCAGAATGGCAAAAAGACTTTGTTTGTGAATAAATGCACACACCATGAACTCTACTATCAGTGTATAAAGTGAATAAATGAAGACTTTCAACAGTCAATATTCTATAAGACAATGATAAATCATTGGTTATTAATATTATCATGTGTTTCTTTACTTTTAAGTTAAATATCAGTCTTTTTCATTCAGTTCATTATGTTCATAAACTAAATAGATACTGCCTGCCAAAAGACTTGGGGGGAGATATAGGATTATTGTCATAGTTTATCAGTTTATT